ATCCTCAGACTCAGCTGACCAGTCGCCTTCAGGAGTCAGACAGCACACAGGAAGTGGAGGAGCAGCAGTCTGGGAGGAGGAATATGTCTGTGGTTTCTGACCACTCCCAGTCTTGCCAGTCTCCCCAGTTGTCATCCTCATTCAGGGCAAAGCAGCAGAATCCAGTGGGAGACCTGGTGGCGAACGCCACTCTGCAGCAGCTCAGAGTCAATGTGGGCGAAGCAGATCTGACAGAGTTGGACAGAAGCGGAGGCAAAACTGTGGAGATAGTCAGGTACTGGACTCACCTGAACACACTGCAGGCGGAAACTGATTCCTCACTGGCTGAGTCTGTGCGCTGGTCTAATTCAAGTCATTTAAAACCAGGTGTCGGCTGAAATCCAGCACTTCATGTTCAGTGAAGCCACTTGTGTTTGACAGATTTTTTTTTTTTTTTGTTTTTTTTTTTTTTTTTTTTTTAAAGGTGATTATAACTGATTTTCCACATGTTGTTCAGTTTTCTGGTGCTAGTTAGGCTAGGCTATATCTCCATCCCAACCTTAACACTCAACTCTGATCTGTGTGTTGCTGCTTCCCATCTGTGTGTGTCAGCACCGTGTACTCCGCTCTGGTGTGAACACCGCTCAGCTCCTAAACTGCCACACATGCACAGATGTAACTGAAATGTGAGCCATTTGTGCACAAGAACAACAACCAGGTCTTGTGTGCAATGGTCAAATGGCCCAGTTTCCTCTCAGACTGCTGGGTTACGATCTGTTCCTTCCAGTTTTGCCTGATCAGAAGCTTCTCCGTAAATGTCCACCATATGTGAAACGTCCTCTCTCTACACTGACTCTTACTTCAGATACTGTATAAATGGCTGTTGTTATCCGATTCAGCTGTTTGGGTGGCATATGTCGAAAATGGCAAACATATAAAATCACAGGCCTTAGCTGTTAGCGGCTTTTCTGTGGACCTGCGTTTTAAGAGTCGGCCTGCTGTGGTTTCATGCGCCACAACATGGGTGATGTATTTCCCATTTTCACTCATTGACAGCTGTGGCAGACGGTGGTGCAGACTACTGGCTAGTAAATGTGGCTGTTGACACTGCAGGGTTCACAATGTAGGCAATGAATTCAGGATGTTAGAGCTCAAGGATTCACACAGTTTAGGTGGAAAACAGAGTGTAAGCACAAACTTCACTGGCAGTCTTAAACCGCTTCCCTGCAGCTTCCTGTTTGTAGGAGGTCACAACCTGCAACTTCCTGTGTCACCCAGTCCATCTGTCTCCTTATCATTCCCTAGCAGTAAGGATGGAGATGTTCTGACTCTTTTTTTCCTCTGTTCCCAGCACCCTGGCGAGCATCAACCCAGCAGCCATCGTGTCCAAACTGAGTGTTTCTGACCCAACAGTCAGCTCTCTGTTCCCAGGAGGCAGTGTGGATCTGAGTCTGGAGGCCAACGCCATCGCCCTGCGCTACCTGAGCGACTCCCAGCTCAGCAGGTTGTCTCTGGGAGGACATGCCCCTCAAGTAGGCCCCACCTCCTCTCCTGACTCCCTGCTGTCTCCTAGCAACATGTCGCTGGCCACCAGGAAGTACATGAGGAGGTATGGCCTGATCAAGGAGGAGGATGGTGAGGATGAAGAGGAGCAGGAGGAGGTCAGAGTTCAGGAGGCGTTGAGTCGTCAGCCACTGGCCGATGCTTTGAATGTGAAGTTCCTCCCACAGAGTCAGCTGATCAGAGACCTGCGGCCAAAGATGCAGCTTTTCACTGGAGATGCCAAATCAAACGCCACTAACAAGGAGAACTGTTTGAGCAGGCGGCCATCTTTAGTGAGGGCAAGCAGCCGCCAGACGGAAGGATCAGTAGGAAACATCCTTGACCTGAGCCGCCTGAGGCAGCTGCCCAAACTCTTCTGACTCCGTGAACACCAAAAACGCTGGACAGACCTTGCTGGTGGGATTCAGGTCGTGGTTTTACAAGAGGACTACCATGTTTAGTCTGGCGAGCCGCCATCAGATACTGGGGTCGGAGGGAGACAGCTTCTGAAACTGAACACCAGAAGAACTGAAAACCAGCCGCCATAGCATCAAAGGGCTTCTTGAATGGTTTAAATGGACTCTGGTGTGTTTGCTGGTGTGACTCAGGTCCCTTTTTGCCAGACTGGATTTACTGGAAATCTTCCATCTTTAGTCAGCTGGATTGACTGGTGTGAAACCGGAAAACTGAAAACCAGTTGCTGATCAGACTGACAACATCTGAGACCTGCTACAACATTTAAAAAACTGTACACTTTTAAATGGACTCATTTTCACTCCTTTTTTATCAGAGGCTAACTGGTGCTCATGAAATGTGTGTTTCTGATTTTTATTGTCACTTGTTTGTATGTAGTCTTTTGCACAGATTTCTATTTATGATTTCACAAATAAAATGCATCATTCTTTTATTACATGTTTATATCGGAATATTAATGAGTATGTGAGAGGCTGCAGATGATTAAAGAAATAGTTTGGCATTTTGGGAACAAGACTATTCTCCACAGTGTCAAACTTTGCTTCTGAAAACGTCAGTGATGAAGGAACTGCTGACAGGAAGTGCAGGGTGCTGGACAGCGGCTAACAGGAAGCTAGCTTGTTGGATCAGATCACTCTGACTGAATAGGAAGCAAACAAAAACCTCTTAGTTGAAGCCAGCAAATGTGTTTTACCCCATGTAAATACTGGGAATAACAAATACTAGAACATTCCAACATTGCGTTCAAGCTTCTCATCTGACCAAGCTTAGGAAACACTTGGGATGTAAAAGCAGAACTGTTTCCTCAGGAGATCTTTGTGTTGTGTGATGATGACGACTGCCTCCTGCTGCTGCAGCTGTAAGTTATTGATCAGTCTGAAGGAGAGTGTGTGTGTGCCCATGTTTCCTGGTATCAAACTGTTGACGAACACATGATCAATGTCTCAAAGGTCAATGTTGTGTTTCTGTGCTCTGCAGGACACTGACCTGAGTTCAGCTCAAATTGCACGGCTGAAAACACACGACTCAACATGCTTGGGTGAGACTTAACACTTTAATTCTTTTTGTTTATTCCAATAAAATGCTAAATCTGTCAGGTTCACATACACACTCTTGTCTGTTTTAGTTTTGCTTATAGTTCAGGGATGAGTTCATGGTTGTTTCTGTTAATCTACATGAAAACAGTTGCAGTTCTTAGGTTTAGATTTAAAACATAATGAATAAATAAAAAGCATCTCTTAGAGCTCCACAACAAATGTAAGATCTGGATTTAATTTCAGTTTAAAACTTAATCGCCAGTGATGTGTATTCATTTCTCTGTTAAGTATCAACTCATTTTAATTTGAAAACGCTTGATCTTCCTTCAAGGGGTAACGTCTTTGTGCAAACGCGTTTATTTGTATAGTACATTTAAGCAACAGCCGTGTTGTAGGAGAGGCATAAAGGCAATAAGACGAGGAAACAGACCATTTTAAAAGAGTACAACAAAATCAAATGGAAAATAAAAATGGGTACAAACAGTTCAGTCACACATGGAAAACTGTGTAAAAGTACAAAGATGATTGTGGGGGTGGGGGCTGGCTTGCCAATGAGCATTAAAACCCAAAGAGGAGTGGGAGTAATTCCACATTTTCAGTGCTGACATACAGTGGGTACGGAAAGTATTCAGACCCCCTTAAATTTTTCACTCTGTTATATTGCAGCCATATACCTAAAATTATTTGAGTTCATTTTTTTCCTCATTAATGTACACACAGCACCCCATATTGACAGAAAAACACAGAATGACATTTTTGCAGATTTATTAAAAAAGAAAAACTGAAATGTCACATGGTCATAAGTATTCAGACCCTTTGTAGAAGCACCCTTTTGAGCTAATACAGCCATGAGTCTTTTGGGAATGATGCAACAAGTTTTTCACACCTGCATTTGGGGATCCTCTGCCATTCCTCCTTGCAGATCCTCTCCAGTTCTGTCAGGTTGGATGGTAAACGTTG